CGAGCACTTTAAGAGTCTTAAATCGAGTCGGACACGAATGACCCATGTGTCCAAAGATACCGAAATAAGTGTGATGTTCGAGGGTTAAAAATAATATTGTACAATTAACATACACATAAATTACTATTTCAAAAACCTTTTGTTATGCTGGCAATGAGTGAATTTTGTTGGCACAGAATCGAAATCGCACGGCTAATCGTTGTAGGAATGCAAGTGATCGAGATCAACCGTTGCGATCTCATATGATCGCGTCTGTATTCGCGAACGATTTCTAACGTTGAGCGTTGGCAAGGCAGAGAAAGGCTCTTTTCGGCTATACGTTTGGCCGTGACCCGTTTCATATTACATAAGCAGGCGAATCGTCGCTGGTTCGGCCTCGAAGGCCGAACCCACGGCGGCGGACCAGCACCGAGCGATCCGGGCGGGTAGGCTGAACGTCGGGTGAACACCCAGACAAGGTCAGATCCGAGCAGGATGCAGCTATGCAGCTCGATGAGATGCGCAGCACGTACCTTCTTTCATTTTCTTTTCTTTTCTCGCTTGCCAACTGATCGGGGAACAAGTCTTTGTTCGAAGGAAGGACGCTCGAAGGCTGTCGAAGAGTGACCAGGCAGACAAGAGCGTTGCACGATTGAAATCACTAAGAATATTCTTGTATTCAGATATTTTATTGATTTGTATCGAACAATATAATAAAGTAATGGATCGCAATTCTTAACAAAATGATAAATCTGAAATAATATAATACTATTTTGTTAGGTTCTTAATTTCTAATAAATTTCGTGTAAAAATAATAAGGGTTAACAATTTTTTCAATAAAAATGAATAAAATATCTTTGTTCGACGACACATTTATCAGTTATAAAAATATTAATTGCAATATAAAAATATATATATACATATATGAGTACTCTAGACGATTTTGTATTTTTAAATTGCTTACACAAGATCTGATTAATATCTCTTATATAAATAACAAAATTCTGTTTTATTTATTTCTTTTTTCATTTTTGGTATTCAAAATTTGCTACAAACGCTAATCCTGCAAATATTATTTACAAATACAAGGATCGCAGAATTATTTGCATTGCAGATGTAACAAGTTATTTTCTTTTACTCGCTACAAAATTGTTTTTCAACAAATGCAAAATATTTATCAAATATACAAAATTTCTTACAAACAGCAAACAAATTTGACAATTAAATTTTGTAATCTCTTTTGCGTTTATAGCAATTTTTTCCTCTCTATTGAAGAAGAAAGAAGAATAATCTGGAAGAAAAATAATCTTGTAAATCATAAAATAAATTCAAGAATAGATTTGAAAATGATTGAGTGAGAATGTACAGTATATTTTAGATTCGCCGCACATCCTTGTATTTGTATCTGTACTTTTTATCAGCTTAATCGATTAAAAATTATGCATAAATGTGAGTTTGAATAGTTAATTTTAACGCCAGTGACATATTTATATACTTACAACACTTTTCAGAAGATCAGAATGCATCGTGAAATACAAATACATATTACGGTGTGAAAAAAAGTTTTGTTTCGAAACGTGGGAAATGTAGAGTATGTGTTGAACTGCAACGAACGTTACTACAGTTTTAATCGTGGCGAGTCGTACGGATTTGTCCCGTGGTTCTTTAATCCCGCGGACTTACGTAACGCGATCCAATTTAGCCCATTCCTTCGTCCGTTCTCCGGTGATACCTACACACTGGAGCAAGCGTGCGCCGTTTTCGCAATTACGAGGCAATCGCCCGAGAAATCTGCCAGCCCGCAGAGCAAAACACTGTATGGTATATTAATATTATGCTCTAATAATGTATTATTGCGTACAAGCTATCATCTCGATGTTTCTTCGTATTGCAAACCTATCGTGCATAATCACACAATGATCATGCACGATTATCGCATTGCAAATGAATTAATTAATCGTTTCTTAATATAATTTGAAACATTAGTTTTTATCTTTACGAATCATTATTTAAAATATAATTTCCAAATGTTCCTCTTAAAATAAAATTTTTACAATAATCTCCAAAATTTAAAACGTTAATTGATTTTTAAATAATTTAAAATGGCGTATCTCGCTTCCCGGTAAACTAGAGCGATAGCCGAAGTCTTCCGTTTCTTCTTAATGCATTCTTATGTTTGAATTGCTGAATTAAATTTGCAAGTATATTTTTTAAACAATTTTCAATCAATCTTTTTTTAATAAAAAATATTTTGCATTTTTTCTCACTTTTATTTTGACTTTTATGGTTTATAACTCTACAACAGTTTCAATATTTTACTGGAAAAATTGATTCCAAATTGGTTAAAAAATAAAACTACGTTTTTTTGTTCATTATATTAATGATAATTTTACATTCACTTATTCAAAATTTTGATTTATTCATTTTTTTTGTTTCATCCAGTTTTGTTTCCTTTTAAAGTAAATATATCCATTTTTAAAATACACTTTTATCGAAAAAGTCTTTATATGACTTGCAAAACGCTACAAATAAATGATAAGCTTCTATGTAATAGTATTTTATAGCTATGGTAATTACATTTTGCTTATTTTAAGAAACGTTTATACTCTCTATTTTTCTCTATTCAAAGACCGAAACATCGAAGGCAAAGAAAACATTTTTTAAATAATATTTTTCTCTATATTTCTGGATAACACTGTAAATTCAAAATTTTGTGTTAAATTCCTCGATATATCGCAAATTATCCGTCACCGTCAATCTTTCTGCCGAGACAATGTTCACACGATAGATTTTCTGAATTAATCAGTCGCTATTCCAAAGCTTGATAGTGACATAATCCATGATTGCGCAATAGTAGAATTTTGTGCGGATTTCGCAGAAATCATGCTAAATAAACAAATCCGTCGAGATTAATTATCATATGGATAACGCGTAGCCACAGATGTTATCGGTACAAACTTTTGAGTGAATGACTTACGCAAGATTTTCGATGTTACCTCAAATTTAGTCAACCTTGATGTTACATACATTCGCCCGCGCGCGCATTGCGTAGATATTAAACGACCGATTATGTAACGATTAAGTTCAGCGTTAGTCAGCAGCCACGTAAGTTCCTAATTGCCTTGGCTTGAAAATTACAAAATCGACAACGTCAAATTGAAGTGTAATTTCAATAAGTGCAAAAGCAATAGTAATGAAATATATTTGGCTGTTTTTGTTTAATTTTTATCACAAAATATGACACAAGAAATAAAGTTGCCATGATAAATATGATATGGATATGATAAAAAGATACATTGAGAATTTAAAAAACTTATAAAAAATTATACAACAAATATATTGTGGTAGAGTTGACGTTGCAGAATCAACGAGAAGATAATTCAGAGAGAAAGACTCATAAAATTCGGAGGAACATATCAGGACTTACACGTAATCGCTTAGCCGCTTATGTAACGAGTGTGGCTAAGCTTCGTGTGTGCGAAGCTTCGTGGTTCGCAGCGTATTTCGCGGCCCACCTCGGCGAGAATTGCGAGAAATCAAGATGACACAATATGTGCAACGTTTCAGGCTTTCGTAAAAGATTTCAGAAAGCGATCGTTGGCGTCTCGATATAAATATAAATACGAATATTTTTCAGATAATTCGCTGAAGTTGCGTGACACAGTTCTGTTATTCACCGTAGTAAAATAGACATGTCGAGTAAGTTATTCGACATGTCTATCGACATGTTGTTGACCAGTCGTATCCGGTTGGAGATACGTATAAACTTCGCATATAATTTGAAGTTTAAATGTAGGTAATACAAAATACCTTGTTGAACTAGAAAATTAAAATCCAAGAAGAATTTCCGATTATAAATAATAAATTTGTAAGTAAAATATATATAGGATACAAATAAAAATTAATAAATAAGTGCAAAATTATTGAAGTTTATATATTTTTCACTAACATGGTTAAAATATAATATGTTAGCGAAATTATAATGTACATTTAATAAATTTTTTAAATATAAATTTATATCAGCAATTAGTATTGAAAAGTAGTTCTTGTTTCATAAAGCTATCCAAATACGGTTTGCAACTCACCATATTTCGTCAAGCATGTGAAACCACTCGAAGAAGTATCACTATCATGTAGTAGTTCGCAATCGTACGAGTGATCATGTTTTTACGATACATCAACCAGTTGCATTAAAATGTAACAACAGATGCCGAGGGAAAGATCGATGCCAATTGATTTTCAACACGTTTCATCTCGTCGAGTTGAGCCGCTTTGCCCACGCGAACATATAGATACATCGCGTTTCGTATAAATTACCAGTGAATGTCTATGTGCATGTTTATTCTATCGAAACTCTGTAGGAGAAAATGGATCTATAGAAGAAAATATCTGCAGCAATATCTGCAGCTTTGCATCATGAGATGAGATCAATGTAGCGATAATGCAAATTTCTCTGCGGTGTACGATAAAAATTATATATAGAAAACGAAAACTTGCAAGTAAAATACAGATAATGATCAAGTGTAATTAATTACATATGAGTAATTACATATGAGTAGATACATAAGTAGATTGTCGATTTGACAAGACGTTTCAGTGAAGATCAATCACATCAGTTGAAAACTGATCTCTCCGAGAGAGATTTTCATCTCTGACTAATTGATGATTGGTACTTGCACAAACATTATGTATTACCACACATACCATATGGAATTATTACGGACGTTATTACGTTAGTAGAAACACAAGTTACATTACACTGTTGAAAACTAGAGAAAGGCTATTTTTATTAAATCGATGATTTTTGCAAAAACTTTATTAATTATTACATGTTAAAAATTATTTTTTATGAAGAGAGACCAGTTTTATTAAATGGCATTCGCATAAATTATTAATACTAATAATTTATTTATACTTAACCAGATATCGTTCTGTATATGTACGATTAAATACGAAGTTAATAAAATTCACTAATAATGTGTACTATTCAGATAAATATTCAATTTTTAGATTGCATTCTGAATATTTTGTGCAACTCTTGGCGTTTTTCCTCTTCAGAAACAGTTCAGCTGCTACATAAAATCATATTTCCATTCGAGTTGCGCAAATTTGGGTTGTAAAGTGAGATCACCTACGACTCACTTGGATTTTATCGTAAACCTGAAACATGATTGCGCAACAATACAATATGTCTCTGCTCTATAATAAACAGTTAAATATGTCGATGGTTCAATGCTAAAAAAAACCATATAATATATAACTTTTTGTTTGAATAAATTCTTATCTGATTTAAAGTATGCATTAAAATTAAGTTTTTTAAATAAGCCAAATAATCAAATTCTTAACAATTTAGATTCCTAAATTTGTATAATATTGATAATTAATTTGAATAATTAATAAAGACATATCATAATACAAAGATTTTCGCTTTACCTAAAACTACAAATTAAGAATAAAAATTTTTGTATAATCAATACCACACACTACCACACACCACACCACCACACACCACACCACACACACACACCACCACACATGTTTGAATTGAATGTATTTGATTTCACACAAATAAAAACATTTATGCTAAAATTATTATAAAAATTATTATAAAAATATATCAACTTGAAAAAATATAGTAATATTATTAGATTAAATTATCTTAATCAGATACGTGAACAAAACAATACGATTTCATGTTATACATTTAATACGGAATTTTGACAAATACCAATCATTTAACACTATTTTTCTTGCACGCTTTTGACCTTTCGTGTTGTTATTCTACAGATTTTGTTTTCATTGTCTGAAAGATTGAATAAATCTTTCTCAATAAGATAAATATATGGTTTTGTAATAACGGGTTATTCTAGTGTCGCACGAAAAAAATGTAGTAATACTCACGAAAAGAAATGTTGGCATCATGTCCTGCTGGTAATACTCCCTGTTGTAAGTCACGCTCGCCTAAGGAGGCGTAATCGCGCCATTTTCGTAATTGCATTATTACGAGGATAGGCATAAGTATCCAGTCGGCATGTTGTGCAAGCAGCCGCGACTTTATTCTTTACATCGTCTCGCGAAGACAAGTAAATAATCAGTTGCTCCGCGATGTATTTCTGTGAAATAAAGAAAATAATTTCTCAATTAAACATTAGATGTTATATCGTAAAAATATTTAAAAATATAACACAAAATCTTATTATACGTAAATAAGCTGTTCCACTGTATAAATTAATATTGCCAGAATAAAATCATGAATTTTTAATAAAATTTTAATTAAACTTCTGATAAACAAAATTGAAGTGCTCGATCTAATTAATTGTAAGAAAAGTATTATATACACATTATCAGTTTAAAGATAAAAAATTTTTATTAAGCAAAATAAGCTTTAAAGTTTTGAAATATTTTGCGCTTCGGCAATTAGGAAAAAAAACAGAATTATTGTAAGCCAATATAGGTATCAGCATTGTACATACTTATATAATCATCGTAATCGACGGCGCACAGGCAAGACGGCTACGGCTTCGCAACATTGACGTCTATCGTTGTAAATGATCGCATTTGCAACCGGCGCAGCGCGCGTCCTAGAATATCACGCCCGTTAGATAATAAGAATACTACATGTTTACGACATTTTATCTTTCTTATTAGTTCAACGATGACGCGACTCAAATAATTTCTGATCGACATTTTTATTGAAAATAATTATCCTCCTCTCTCTCTCTCCTCTCTCTCTCCCTGCCTTAAATACCTTTTAAAATTAAACATATGAACATAATGGTAAGCAAGCCTCGTTTAACTAAACAGAAATAAAAAATTACAGATAAATAAATTTGTCATTGATCTATATACAAAATCAAGTAGTAAATGAATTCATTATAGACCTATATTAGAATTCTTTCAAGTATTTAAATTATAAAATTTTAACATATTTTTTTTTGATTTTTTTTATTTTTAATACTATTATCTTATGTACCTTTAGATTATTTAATGTCATATTTTTTATATTTATACTATTTCGTATACATTATTAATATATAATATCTCTCTCTCTCTCTCTCTCTCTCTCTCTCTCCTCTTTTTCTTTCTTTTTCTCTCTTTAGACACACACTATAGAATACATTTCAATAATGTTATCTTAAATTTAAAAAATTAACTATTATTTATAATATTTTTTTTAAATCAGAGTTATTTATACTTTTAAGTTCTTAATTACTCAAAAGTTATGACTGAAAAACATTTATCAAAAAAGATACAGAATTTAGAGAGTAATGCCCTTAGACATTTTACAAAAATATTTCTTGATGTAAACAGAAACTCGAGTGCAGCACGTTTGGTAACTAGAAATAGATTGCAATGCATAGTATGCTCAGACTAAGCTACTTCTGTCCACAATCGTAACAATGTATTTCTAGTAGTGTTAAGCGATCACGCGAGAACAGTAATTTGCATTTACACAATGCATTAGAAATGAAGAAAAAGTATGTATACATAATTTTATAATCCACATAGTTACTAGTTATAGTTTAATAAATAACGTATCCTAAATAAGATTAAATTATGTTTTAATTTAAATAATATCCTGTTACTTTAGGACCAAACACATACTCGATTTAAGAAAAAATGTTTGAAGTTCCAAAAAAACTCTTAACATTGTTTTATTAAATTTCGACAATCAATGTTTTATATGAAGAAAGAATTTCTGTAACAATAAATTAATAGACATCAGTGCAAGTAATTAACATACATAAGATATTTAATATGTATTGAAACATTATCGTACAAACATACCATTATCTTTTATTTTTGCCAGAAATAATTTAAATTTTAACACAAAGTATACTAAAAACAGTGCTTCTCAAATATAAATGAACGGGTTTAAAATCACTTTTGATTATTTACTCAAGTATATAAAGACCTAATCGATTAAGCATAGTGGAGAAAAAGTGAAAATGTGAATAAAACAATTAAAAAATCATATGGTCAGACCCGAATTATGTGACTCTCCATATGTAAAATATCGCTTATGACAGACCGTATCGTGAGAAAGACATAGAGTAAGCTTCCTTTGTTTAAACGATATCACTTAAGTACAACGTGCGAAAGCGCTAAACACTCATTATTCTCAGAACTATAAAACACCAGGGCGTCATCTTGGCAAGCCTCATACTCGAGAAGCTCGTTCTCGCACGGGCCAGTGACATAACGCGCGTACACACATATGCATGCGGATACTACTCAGCATTGAATATAAAGAAAATATCGAATGTAGCGTATAATAAAACACATATAATAATATGAAACAAGCAAATAAAAAATTATATAATATATTCTATAATAAATTATATAATATGTTCCATCAGTAAATATAAATATAAATATAGTAAAAAAGAAGGAATTTTAAAGAAAGAATGAAATAGAGATTTATTTAATTGCAATTTGTGATAACATTAATTGTGCTCCTATTTGAGTTTAAAGGTGATCAACAATTTTTATACTTGTGTCGCGTCTCTACTCCTATTTTTGCATACGCCTGTGCATGAAACGACATTATGTAAACCTCTGTCTTGAACGTGCGAGTGCACGTGGTTGATCACAGTACACACGTGTTTAATCCGTGTTCGAACTTACAGACATATACGCAATAAAAGAAATCGTACTTTACTTATTAATCTAATTTTCAATTTAATATATTTAACTATCTTTGATATATAATACAATTACGTAATTAATATCTTTGTCCTTTTTACGTAATTGCAATGACGCAAATCACAATTTTCTATTTTCTTGTTCGTTTTATAATAAATTAGAAGTTAAAGCTAGAAATTAAGAAAATGTGTATCTATCTCTCATAAATTTTAAAAAATAATTTGTAAAATAGTATAATTAACTGTTGTTCTGAAAAATAAGTACTATTTTTTACATTAAACTTTTTTTACATTAATTTTTTACATTAAATTTTTACATTAATTTAATAAATAAATATTTATTTATTAAACATTATATCGTGTGCAGTTTTATTTATGTTGTAGATGAACAAAAAAGTTTCTTACGGAAGAATTGCTCCTTTCAACACTTGTGGTTCAAGAATTTTTTATTTTATTAGCATAATTATATGCAATCGTTTTCTTCTTATAAGATTGTAAGATGACTTAAATATCGCTGTACTGCCAACAAGGTTGTTTTTGTTATTGAAAATGTAATTTTGATAAAGATATAAAATACTCAAAATAAAATTGTTTACAATTATATTATTTATCTTGTGAAAATATAAAGTTATCGTGCTAAATTGCAAAAATATAATGTCAGTAGTTTTTGTTTCAGTAACGGATCTAAAATAGATTAAGAAAAAACAAAGTAGATAGGAAATGAGAAATTATTGTTTTAGATAAGTGTGTATATATACATATATATACACACTTATCTAAAACAATAATTTCTCATTTTTATTTACCATTTTATTTACGTAATGTAATATATATATATAGAAACATTGTACTAGACATAATACTTATATCTAATGTTTATCATATAGATAGAAGCATGAAAGATTGAATCATAATCCTATCCGATTATAAGCCGCTTCTCGATATGAATCTTTATATTAGTATCACAATAATCTGTTAGCATCTTGCACTCAAGACAATATCGAGAATTAAATAAGATTTTGTCATGCAAGAGCAAAATTAAATAATAAACGTTTTTTTATTAAACGCATTTTATTTACGTAATGTAATATATAATTTTATAACTACTAAACGAAATTAAGGAAATGTGTTTATTACTATCTCATTTCTTAATCCTTGTAAATATAATACTTTCAATAATACCTATCTAATGTCTCAAAAATGTTGAAAATGTTGATTTGAATCAATATATAATGTTTGTTAACAAATGTTCTTTTAATAAAGTAAACGTTTATTTAATAAAGTGGTATAAAGCTTCATTCATTTAATACAATCGCTAGATTCATAAGACGAATTGGCAGAATACTTGGCAAACAGAATAAAGCATTCTGCAAAATAATAATCCAACTCAACGGTTCATTTGTATAATATTGAGTTGTAAGAATAATTAGACAGAAACATTACGAAAATATACTATCATAAACTTTACTATAGAAATATAAATAATTGCACAAATAAGTAAAGAAGGCCATTTTCAGATAAAACGGATCTTAGTGCCTAATAAGTAATACGTAAAAATATTGTTAGCTACTAAGATTCGATTTAATCAAATATGACCTTTTTTGTTTATTCGTGTTGATTATTTCTCGACTTTAACTTATTATTGATAAATGAATGCATTATTATCATGAAATATCTTACAAAACTCGCAATAAATTATCAGAAAATTAGTAAATCCCCATCATGTAAATACAAAAATTCATTCTTTGGATAAGCCATTCTTTGATTGAAATAATCCAAATTGATGTTATATAATTTGCATTTTTAATATAAAATTATTTATAATGCAAAAAAATTATCATTTTAATTTCCAAAACCTCGACTTTTTTGTAATTACAATTATATTCAAGACTTCAGAAGAGTACTAACTTTTATTATTGACATTTTTCTACATTAAATTGTTAACAGCAATCAATTTAAAACGTAAATAAATCAATTGATTGTTTGTAAACATACATATAAATAATTTTATTTATTTATTCTACCAATTATTGGCATTTTTATATATCTTTTATTAACATTGATAATACGTAAGTATATTTCGACAAGTGTACACATTGTAATACACATTCATCATTTTTTTATTTATTCTTATTCCTTTATGATAAAGATAAAACATTTGTTGCAATTTTTACAAATAGTCGCTCAATTATATATTAAAAAGACCTTAATAAAATTAACAGAATTTTAATTGTGCAAATAAGCAATTCAATTTCTCAGTGACTCAATCCTTCATCAGCGCGTATAACTGTAGTTGAAAATATGAAAATACTTGGCTCTTGGTTTCGGCAACAAAATACTTGTAGTAAACATTGTTTACCTGCGAATAACATATTTATAGTTAGGTGAATGTGTCGTCTCGTAAACAGGTTTACACTACTGATAATTAACTGCGTAACGAAATCTACACTTCACACGTGTTTGACTTTATGTATTTCGTTTCAGTTCAAAATAGACATTTTGAAGTCACTAAAGCATTATATGCTAATTACATGTATAACACAACGTATGGAGAAAGACATTTGCAGTAAAATCCTTATACTACTGAGAACTAAAGGTTTATAAAAAAATTTTTTTACAAACGTTATCTTTAGAGATTTTGTGAGAAAATGAGTCATAAAAAGTTAAAAAAAAGTAATTTTTTAATTAAATTATATTGAATTAATTTCTCCTGAGCTTAAATAAATAAATCCGTTGTCATTTTATTTATCCATGTAGCAAGACGTCAAATGACGTCTTAATAATGTTTCTTTAATAACATCAATAAGAAAGACGTCATTAAAATGTGCGAAATACAATAGATATCTAGAAGCACTCACATATCTTAAGTGATTTAAATCTGTCAGTTTATTTAAGAAATAAATTTATTAAAAAAAAAAAAAATG